CAACCAACCAACCAACCAACCAACTTGCTGGGTCGATACCATTCCAAGGCTATCAACGCCTGGTATCCCCAAGCAGTTCTTTGCTGGCATTTGTGGCCCCTTGCGGTTGACTCTTGAGCCATTTGACTGTCGCCCGAGTGAAGCAGGGAGATGCTTATGACTATTTTGATACAGCCTTGACAAACTACACCTGAAAATGAAGATTTTGCAATTGTATCTGGTGCAGGACAGTGCAGGCAACTTTCTTGAAGGTTTGAGCCGCCGCGTGATTTTTTAAATCGATGCCTTCTGCATATTAAATATCTAGACCCTCGTTACGTGCGCAGATTTCGTATCGCTGTGGTGCAGGGCCGGGACCTCCAACCAGTGGCTTAGCATAAAGTATAAGGGGTTTGGGGGACCCTTTGAGGGCTTGCATGGAGCTCTGGGCTGCTGCTGATGCAGATACATCGTGTGCGCGTGCGTCAAGCCTTGAATTGAAAAGACTATCCGAATAAACGTATGTACCTCAAGTGCTGAGTGCATTCACATCTTTCTGTTTGTGCCACCAATCTTTCGTGTTGTCGAAATGGTGCTGGCCCTCAACAGAAGGCCACAATCAGTGAGGACAGAAACCTGAGGGAAGGAACTCCATCAAAGTGTCAAGCCCATCGAGATGTCACTCATTCAGCGGGCCCGCGACCATTGCCCAAAGGAAGCCTCCTTCAGCTGATGGCTCGAACTGCTCGAGGGCACTGAGAAAACCGGGGCGTTCCGGACCAGGGGGCCAGGCAGGGAGGCCCGGAGGGCCACGAGTGCTCCGAATTTAAGACTCTGTTTCGCTTAGGAGGGACTGGGAGGGACGTCGTCGGACTTGGCTGGCTCCACACGGTGAAATCTGGGTTTGGCGGGTTTCGGGTTTCGAGCTTTGATGATTGCGTGGCAGTGGCAAGGACATAGGTCATGAGCGCACCTCGCATTTGCGTTGCATACTCGCGACGCAGCTCTAAATTCCGCGTCCTCGACCACAATTCCCTTGCTGCAAAGTCTTGTTGCTGAGACGCAGTTTCCATCCTTATTCCTCTACTTGCATGAGCCGACATTGGCCGGCAGCTTCCAGGCGGCCACCCATGGTCGATGTACCCAGACTAACGAGTCTTGATGTCGGCGCCTCAGTACAGGAAGAGCCCCTAATGCTCTGGTACCCGCAGCACAAGTTTTGTAAGCCAGTGATCACTCGACTGGCAGCCTGGGAGATGCGCCTGGTAGCATATCTAGTATTATCTAGTGCAGTATAGAGAGCATAGCTTGATATGTCCATCTCAGTCCGTGCGTGTTTTGCCCTACGGCCTCCCTGATCCACAAAAGTCCTAGGCCCTGGTCGCGGTCAAAGATGGCAGAGTCATCCAGAAGGCGAGGGTGTTAGGAGGATTCAGACATTTCTTTGGTGTTACCTGGGCACGGGTCAGCAAGATGTATATTCATGAATGGTGCGGCTGTCACAGGTCTCCGAGGCTCTTCCGTTTGTACCGTGATTGAGCGAACCGTGAGCAAATTATGCATCCTCGGAAACTCCGATCTCCAAGCCCCCCCTGATGCTGTGCCCACAGTATATAGCTTAACAACGGACTCTTCTTTGTTATCATCCTGCGCCTTGCCACCCTTTATGATGCGCTGTTTTCAGTCCTGCTCACTCAAAGACTTGGACAGGCACAGGCAATAGCGCCCCCGCGCGCCAGCGCGCGTGGCAGCGGAAATGGTGGAGCCAGGAGCAGTGCGCCGTGGGTGGGCCTGTCAGGCTGGGTCAGTCAGGATGTCACAAAGAAGCGCAAGCCATGTGATGTGATTAGTAGGGTGATCTAACTCTAGAGTGTCGCACAGCTTGGTGAAGCCAAGAGTGGAGCATACATCGTCAAACATAGAAAACCTGAATACCTACAATATATTCCTTAGGGTTCGTTTAATGTAATTGTAACATACTCGATATACCCCCAAGCCTTGGTCGAATGACTAAGGCCTCTATCTTGGCTTAAAGATGTGTTCTTTGCCTGCAGCTTGGCTGATGGTCCCTGTTCTGTGAGTGTGGCCGCAGGTTTCCGATTGCGAAGCACTTTTGCTCCAGCTCGCACGAAGTCAGGATTCCCGATAATCTCCAGACCAGATGGCAGAACCGAAACGGGTGCCCGTGACTGTTCTCACCGGCTTCCTGGGCTCCGGGAAGACGACTCTGCTGAACCACATCTTGCAAACGAAGCATGGCATGAAGTTTGCCATCATCGAGAATGAATTCGGCGAGGTCGGTGTGGATGAGAAAGTCATCAAGGAGGACTCAGAGGAGCAAGTCATCGAAGTAATGAACGGCTGCATTTGCTGCACCGTGCGAGGGGATCTAGTGAAGGTCTTGAAGAAGTTGCGCAGCAAGCTGGATACTTTCGATGGGGTTATCATCGAGACCACTGGAATGGCAGACCCGGCACCAGTTGCTCAGACATTCTTTGTTGACCCAGAGGTCCAGAAGATCTATCATCTGGACGGGATCGTCACTGTGGTTGACTGCAAGCATGTGCTGGCGCATCTGAAAGAGGAGAAGCCGGAAGGCGTGGAAAACGAGACGGTCGAGCAGATCGCATTCGCAGATAGGATCATCCTCAACAAGACGGACCTGGTGGACGACGCCGCCTTGGAGGAGGTCGTAACCGAAGTGCAGAAGGTCAATAAAGATGCAGAGCTCATTAAGGCCCAGCACAGCAAGGTGGATCCGGCGAAGCTCCTCGGCATCAACGCCTTCTCGCTGGACCGAGTTTTGGAAATGGATCCTGAGTTCATGAACACGGACGGTGAACACCAGCACGACAACAGCATCAGTTCCATTAGCTGGAAGTTCGAAGGAGAGCTGAATGTCAACAAGATGGAGATGTGGATTAGCGAGATGCTCCAGACCAAGGCTGCAGACATGTTCCGTTACAAGGGCATGCTGGCCGTGAAGGGAATGGACACGAAATACCTCTTCCAGGGTGTGCACATGCTCTTCAATGGTGGCTTCTCTGAGGACTACACGTGGAAAGAAGGTGAGACACGAGAGTGCCGCTTCGTTTTCATCGGACGCAATCTCGACAAGGCTTTGTTGGAACAGAAATTCATGGAGTGCAAGGTCACTTCTGAGGCCAGGTTCAAGGCGGGAGACCGGGTGGAGGCCAATGTTCCAGGAGGCTGGAAGAAAGCGAAGATCATGAGAGTATGGGATGAGGGCAACCCATATCGCATCCAGCTGGATGATGGCACTCAGGTGTGGGCGCCGGATGATTCGGATAACTTCGTGCGGGCTCTGCCTCAGAACGGGGGTTACTGAGGCAGAACAAAGAGGGGTGGTTCTCACCGACGCAGCTCGGATTGAGCTCCAACATTAAGTCTGGCGAGTAGTTATGTTCAGGTGCCTGTGTTATGCTGCAGTGCAGAGCTTTTCACGGCACAGCTTTTTCACGGCACCTCGGCAACACACAAGTGATGCTCACTGCACGTTTGCATCGTGCACGATCTCCGAGCTGAAGCGGAAACCTTTGTGCATGTGAGACGGAATGTCTCCTTGGATCTCCTGAAAGGCCTTTGTGGCGCCGTGGCTGTTGGCCGCCAGCGTCGCAGGCTGCGCGCGCTGCCCTTCGGCATCTCTGCACCTCGGTGAAGTCCTCCGCGTTGAGTCGGTGTGGTGTTGCCGCGGTGATGCCGTAGATGAACTCCGGACTCAGAAGTCTGTGCAGTGGCTGCTTGACGCCCTGTGTTCACTGCCGTCAGAGCGTGCAGAGAATTTGCTGGAAACTCTGTTGATGTACCAAAGATGCTGGTTTACAGTCCCCGTTCCATGCGGGAAAACTGGTAAGCTTTGTGCATTCCCCGAGGTGGTGGGCACAGGCTCCGCAGCTCCAGAAACGGTCGCGGCTTGGTGTCATTGACAGGTAGGGCTTGATAGGTCCTTCTTGCGTTCTTGCAGTCCTGCGATTGTCATCACCCACCTTGCGAAGCAGCGCTTCAGGTCTCCAATGACGATCTGGCGGAGATCGTGGAGACCAGCGACGAATGGATCTCGCAACGCACTGGGATTAGGATCGCTCGACGAAGATGATTTCTCCCCAGCACGTGACCTCGAAGTGCTCCGATAACGCGAAAGGGTTACCAAAGCCTTGCCGACCATGCTGCCAGGAGAAGACATGTCCTGGCCCCCGACGAGTCGCTAGCGCCCCTTTCCCGAATTAAATCCTGTCGCCGGCGAGCGCCTCTGACAATGTAGCGCATTTTTTATACGGTTTTTTATGTTACAGATTTCCAGTGTGGCCCAGGTCGCTGTCTACAAAAGCTGCGAGCAGAGCTCTGGAAGCTGCGAAGACCCGTGGCAGCAACAGGGAAGTTGGCGGCGAGGAGTTCGGAAACCCATGCAGGCAGAATCAGACATTGTTTGGAATCACCACCAAGCAGTGTCGAAGCAGCTGAGGATGTCGCCCGAAGACGTCGACCTGGTGATCCATGCCACCTCTACACCGGACGATCTTTTTGGAACCGGCCCCCAGGACACCTCCTGAAACAGTAGCATCAATCCAGGAGACTTAAAGGTAAGGGCGAGGTGTGTTGTTGCAGCTGTGTCCCAGAAGAGTGTTTTGTTTCGCTCTTTTTCAAGGTTTCGCCGTTTTGCAAGAAGCCGGCACTGGCATATTCTGGCATATCAACTTGCTGCAACTGCAGGAAGCCATCTGGTAACCCGGTAGCCTTTCAACTGCGTGAAGGTGGCATCCATGTTGGGTGCAGACAACGCGGTAGCCTTCGATCTGACGGCAGCCTGTTCAGGCCACGAAGACCACGTGCAGCCTCATGCTGTAGAGTGTTAGATCGGGTGCATGGTATTCGGCATTGTTTCTGACCAGGCGATGTAATGCAGCTTAATGTTGCTCCCTCTTTAAAAGGGGGTCAGCAACAGCATGGATTTTGCAAGCACAGTAGAACAGAAAACTGTTCTGGAGAAAGAACTTCACTGCATGCAGGGCCACCCCTAACAAGAAGAACGTCTGACCTAGCACCTAGCATGGGAAATTTCACATCTAAGAGGGTCACCAAACCACGTCAAAGCAGCAATTGCCGCATCCCTCAGTCTGCGCCCATCTGTCAGCAAGCTCCTGTGCACAGGTTTCGTTTTCGCGTTAACAACCGCAGCGCAGTATGTGCGCCGGGGGCCTTGGCAAGCCCAGCTAAAAGTTGTTGGGTCTCTCTCCGTCCCTTGCAGTGCTCTTTTCGGCTTTCTCTCTCTTCGCTTGTCTGTTTGCCCTCCTTGTTGTGTCGCATGTCGCTTTGTAGTTTTCCTGCTCGGGGTCAATGCTTTTGTCGATTTCAGGCGTCTCTGTTTCTCTCTTCCGTCTTTCTGCTCATTTTGCTCTCTAATAGACCCCACTGCTAACTGAGCTCTTCCCAGAAGCCGCGAGGCTGTGTTAAGAACGGTTATGACGTTTGTGGAGTGGGAAGTTTAGCGGAATCCCTGAGTCTCTGTGACTCCGTTGCTTGCGCAGTCATCGCGACTCGTGCTTATGGAATGGCAAAGATGCTGGCAAGTAGAGCCCCACTGTTACCCACGGTCACACCAGCGAATGCCGAGGCTCGGGCTCTTTCAAATCTGCAGTTGTGATTGGCGCGGACTGCGCCCGACCTCAGAAGCACTTGCCTGATGGCTTTTACTGTGGCTTACTCCGCCAAATGCTGGCTCGTAGATGGAAGAGCCCCGACTTCCGTTCTTCTGCCTTGAAAGTTCCTGCAGCGACAGAGCTTGTCAGGCTTATCCCGCTGGGTCGACTGGTCTGACCGAAACACCTGCGTCCTCTTCGGCGACGGCGCTGGCGCCATGGTAATCACTGCAACGGACGCAGAGAAGGATGCAGCTCGGCCCGAAGAGATGCGTCAGTGACAGGGACGGGGATATGATATGTCCGGTTCCTGACATGGCATGCAATAAAGGTGATGGTGTGTCGCAAATGATCCGGCAAACGAGCTCTCGTGGAGATTCTTGCAGCACCAGGTTAACATTGGTAATTCTTAAATCAATGATTCCTGGCACGAGAATGACAATCCTCGTTTTTGGATCAGACCCGTCTGCGGAGCAATCCATGCCCGGGGCAGGTACCGTAACAAAAAACCCTTCATGGTCCAGAGGCCTTGCTCGGCTTTCGCATGGGCAGCGATGGCAACGGACGCCAGCTGAGATTGGGCTCGCCGGTTCCGGGGAACGCATCGTCTGCAACACGCATCATCATGCTGGTGAACATACTCTTCGTCATGTTTATTTCTCCAAGCAGCCACACGGCAAGGTGGTGTGAGATTAGATTCGGTTTTGGCCGATGCTGCCGCCGCAACTACTAAAAAGCACTTGTGCCATCGGACTGTTGAAGCGGAGCACAGACACCCCATCAACACTTTGGCTCGCAGCTCCACCCAGAGCATCCCAGGGCCATTTTTTGGTGACCCTCCAGCCTTTCCCAGGAGCTTGCCACCTGGGCTTGAATGCCGAGGCAGATGGCGTGTCCCTAGGCGCAGGCTGGGTGGCCCACGCATGTGGTTTCAGAGGTGTTAAGGCAGGGAGGAGAGGGACGACAGCCTGGGCTGAGGCAATGGGTAACCCATGACGTGACTGGTGCTGGGGTTGTTCCTCCCAGTAGGTCATGATCACAATGCAGGGCCTGGTGGAAGTTGTGGCTAGTATGCACTGCATCCTGAGGTGGGTGAGTCTCTGCTTTTCCCCTTTTGGCTAGTGGTTGCCGAGGCAAGGAGGGCGGAAACGGAAGATACCGCAAGGTGACCATGAACGGAGCCTCGGCTGCACAGTTGTCAGCGGGCTCCCGAAGACCCAAGCTGCCCGAGCTTCGACCCTAGGCCCTAAGCACTATTCGCCCTCACCCTGCTTGTCCCTGGTCATCGCAGGCAAAGAAGTCTTCCGTTTTGCGACCAGCAGAGCCCCAGAGGCCAGAACCGATCCGGCACACGATGAGAAAACAACGAACACATAAATACAGATTCTAGTGCACGCATTTTTACGCATGCATGCATCCATCCATCCGTCTATCCGTCCGTATGTACACAGGTACATGCATTTTTGTTGGCCTTGGGCCTGTCTTTGCAGCGGGTATGCGTGTCTTGAGGTTAATTAGGTACAACAGCATCGGGCCTTCCAGCTAAAATGCAAGGACAGCTTCTCGGTCCACGGTAGCAGGAGGGAGCTTGCATGCAAGCATTGCGCCTTCATGCTTGCATTTGCCCCTTGAGCCGTGAAGAGGTCTGTCGTCAAATTCTAGGTTATTGGTATGTGAGTCCTGATGCCAAGAAAGCCTTGATGCCTGAGCCCTTCTGCGTCCCAAGCTTGATACTAATCCAGGACAGTGCACAGTAGGACTTCCATGACCCCCGAGTTCATACCAGCTTTTCCCTGCCAGACGCTCTCCAAGCTCATGGAAGAGCACAACATCAGTGGCGAAGAGGCATGGTCGATGTTCCTTACTAAACCCTAAACCCTATAAGCCCTAAACTTCCCCTCGGTTGCCTCGAGGGGTTCGATATCCGGAGCTCCTGGAGCTTTGAGGGCATCAAGAAGTTTGCAGCCCTGGTGTGGCCCCGGGTGCCCTAGCTGTTTGCAAAGAGAGGCTGCGGCCTATCTTGGTACAAGTCATGTCTCCGGCTCCAGGAGTTCTGAGATTTGGGCTTAAGCGAGTTCAGGCAAAACGCATTGCTGAAAATCATCGGAGTCTTCACGATGCACAGCCCGGCGATGTCACAATGATACCTTGGCTACCCCCAAGAGCAGCGAAGCCTAGAAGCCCTTCGCAACCCCGTGGCAGGTGAATGCTAAAGGCCATGCGGAACTGTAGTCGATTCTACAGTTCTAAAGTCTTTTGCAGAAAACGAGAAAGGTCGGTTACAGCCGGTTACCGCTAGTCCTGTGACGTTTCCCGTAGGCCAAGCAAGCAATGAGGGGCGGGGATCAGTTCGCTTCATTTCGTTCGAACTGCTGGAGTAGGCAGCAGGGCAGTGATCTTCGATGGCTTGCAGTGGGGCGTTGAGGATTCAGGGTGTGGGGGCGTGCCACGACCTCACATCCCTTCTCCTCTGAAGGTCGACTGGCTGCTCCTGCACCAGGCCGGACTAAAAGACCCTCCCCGGTCTCCTCGGCTGAGAACTGAGACAGCGCACAAAATCTCGAAGAGCAACATTCCTCCCCTGCCGTCGCCTCGTTTTATCCTTGATGCTGTTGACTGTTATCCAGCTCGTTCTCCTCGTCATCCATATCCTCGCCTCTGCCATAATGTCATGGCGCGCATCGCAGGTCCAGCTACCACCATCTTCTTGACCATCATCATGTTCTAGCAGTAACATCAGTACTTGCATCACCATCGTTATCTTCTTCTTCAAACCAGTATCATGCTACGGCTCGCTATGGTTATTGCTACCAGCATCGTTCTAATCATTAAGACTGTACAGTGCCGTTACGTGGCGCAGACAGCCTGCCAGAAGCCAGCGCGACGGATCATGCAGTGACCTGTAGTCCTTGAAGTCACGAACCCTGCTCTTGTAGAAGAAACTTCGGAGTCGCAGGCAAACCGCCGGATCATGGATTCTGCAGCTCGTCGCCTGAAGTTGCCGAAGGATGTGCAAATTGTGCCTTGCAGCTCTACAGACCTTGATGGGTGGCGTTAGCTGGCCTACACCTCTTGCTGCTTTGATTCCATGGTTGTGCCACGGCCTGGCCGTGGACCAAACCGATGCAAAGCTGCCTAAACTTCCACCAGGAGAAGATCTTGTGCAACCTGGATGAGTACGGCAACACTTCGGCCGCCTCCATCCCGCTGGCCTTGGACGAGGCATCAGGGCACGGCAGCATTCAACGGTCACGAGTGAGGGTAAATGTAGAGTCTTTCCAGAAGGTCTTCTGGTGGACTTTCTACTTTATGTGTGAAGTTTTCGCAAAAGCCAGAGAAAGTACAAACAGGTATCAGTTTGCTTCAGAGGCAGTTAGAAATTGCTAGGCCATGCAACGCACACCTGCCGCACCTGCATCAGGCGGTCAAGGAAGGCAAAGTTCAGCCAGGACCTGCACGAAGTAGAGATTCACGGCACGGAAATGTGCGATGACATCCTAGCGCAAGATTGGACGTGCGAGTGGTCTTGCGGGTACATAACTCAACGAAGAGATATGACAGTTCATATCCGACCGTGACTTCAAAAATGCATTCTACGCTCCGAAGGACAGCTCGTGGCTTGCTGTGGCTTTGGAGCGGGGTTGACTTGGGGAGGCGGACGCTTGCTTGTGCCACTGCGATCGCACTCCGAAATGGGGCAGTCCAGATCGGCACATGCTCTACAATCCGCTGTCGCTTGCTGCAGCTGTGATTTTGGCAAAAAGGTCGAGAGCATGCGGCCATGTCAGCAGGCTTTCTACAGGAAGCTGACCCACAGTCTGAACTGCACCTGGGGACCTAGCGGACCTAGCGGACCTAGCCATAGCTTACCCTCACCAGCCCGAAGCTTGGGCAGCCGAGCGCATGGCGCAGACCGGCCACGGCCTTAACTTGGCTGGCCGAAGTTCATTCTAAAGCGTCGAAGACACATGGGTGGTTGTCAAAATTGTGGTCCCATTTTGGATCCTTATTATAATACGGCACCTATTATTTAGGGTACCCCAAAAGGGACCATAATTTTGACAACTACTCACATGCATGCCCAAGGACCGGTATAATAGGCATAAGGAGTACATCCATGCAGAAAATTTTGACGGGCATACCCATATTTACTCAAAACACTCGCGCGTGTGAGTATGTGTGCATACATGTTTTATATTCCACACTCTTGATTAATCATCCGCATAATCTGCATGCACATACCTGCATGCCTACATGCATTTATATATCTATAGTCTATAGCCCTACGTCCATATACACACATCCATCCATCCAACCATCCAAAAATCCAACCATCCAACCATCCAGGCAGGCAGGCAGGCAGGCGTGCATGCAGACATGCGCATGCACACATGCATGCGTGCATCCATCCATCCTTCCATCCATCCATCCATCCATGCGGCCATGCATGCATACATACACATACAAAGGTCGATGACGAGACAGAGACAGTCGACACCAACAGCAAGAAGAGACCATCAGTCCCTGTTTCACTCTCAACGCAGCATCCCGAATCCGAACTCGAGCACGCTGCACCCCAGCCAAGAATCAGAGGCTGGACTCACCGCGATATTGCTTGTGGCACCAGATGATACTATTTGAGCCTTTGACTTCTCGCTTCAAGCCGCACGACACTTGCTAGGATTCAGGTTTCAGGCATGCCTTCAACTTCAGGCAGCCAGATCAGGGCTCTCCCCCGGCCGCTTGCGCGCTTGTGCACCAGCAGCTCTTAGGCTCTCCCTGGGCTCTGCCCGGGCTTCTGGGCGGTGCAGCGCTCGTGGTCGCGGTTTTTCCCGATCGTGGGGCGGCCAAGAATGTTCCGGTGTGTGTTGCTTTGGATGTCGTTGCTTTGGAGAATCAGCCGGGTACATGCAAGCATGTCTCTTTCACGATGATTTTGGGCTCCAGCTGTAATTGGCATCCCATTTTAGCCGCCCTGTAGCGCCAACCTTCCTCAGAATGAGCCTGGCATTTACGGTGGGCCAGCCGAAGCTGACTCAGAGGATCATGCCGAAAATGCACTCGGCATGTCTTAGGGAAGCAGTGGGCTTACAAGCTTAAGTTCGTTTGGATGCAGGCAAGAGCGAACTTAATTGAGAGCCACGAACCATCTACGTCGGTGACATGTCCGCCTGCCACGATATAGAAGGGCGACAGGAGATGACGCGAGTGATTTGAGAGCTTCAATTCCCAACTTCGTAAGCAGGACCGGGCCCTTCGATGCCAAAACTACGGGCGCGCCTTTGCAGAGGAATGACAGAGTGACCGACACTTCAGGACGCGCATCCATGCAGCTTGAGCATCACATCAAGCCTTTAGGGACATTAGGGCTTATTGCAGCATATTGCAGCTTTATGCCACGAATCTCCCACTCACGATGGCTTTGCCAGGGGCCAGGGGGGGCAACTCGGGGCACAGCCAATGTCTGGCGAGCTAACGGCATTGTCTTGTGACACCCAGGTCTGACAATCGGATGCTCACACAACCGGTCGTGAGCCGAAGCGGTCCGTTGAAAATGCAAGGCCTCGTCCATCAAAGTAAGTAGCTTCAGCCAAACATTGCAACTGCATATCAACATACCTCACAGCAGCACATTGGCCGTGCATGTTCACGACAAGCAAACGGCAAAAGCTGAAAGCAGGAGCAAGAACAAGAACCACCACCGCCGCCGCCAACCGCCGCCATCGCCACTACCGCAACCGCAATCGCGAACCAGTAACAACAATAACGACAACAACAACAACAAAAACGACAGCGACAACGACAGCACAACAGCGGCAACAGCAACAGCAACCACGACGAAGACAACGACACCAACAACAACAGCAGCAGCAAGCCCCAGCAGTACACACTGCCGCCACCGCCACTTCCACCGGCACCACCGCCGCCGCTGCTGCCGCCACCACAGCGGCCACAATGCCAATAACTGCAGCAAGAGCAATGCCGACAAAAGTGGCAACAAGAGGATGAGAAGCATCATCCCATTGTAGGACAGCAGTTATCAACGATGAATCAATGAAGGAGGCAGAATCAAGCACGATATTTGTCCTGCAGGACGGGGATGGCAGTCCGTGAGCGCTGCAGTAGCTCTCGCAGCTGCAGCTGGTGCAAAGGCGCCGGCCTTCGGAGATGCACACCTTTGTCTAATGTTTCCGCGGATTCTCCACCCCTGGGCATCCGACGCAACTTCAGAGATTTGTCGAGCCCAAGGTCGCTCGGCGAGCTCGCGGAACGAGTCGGATAACTCTCTTCGCCGACCGGAGGGTGGTGGTGACAGGCCTGTCGTTTGTAGTATTTACAGTGCGAGGTTATGTTTCAAGTGGCCTGTTGTCCCTCAAGGTGGACTTGCATTTCGGTGGTTTGTAGAGGGGTTGCGAAATAACATTAGGCCCTCTGACATCGAGAATTGTTGGCATTTGAAGAGAGCAGTTCTTCTTTCAATAGTCCAAGATAGAAACCAACGTGCACTTCGTGCAACATCTTGCAGGTATGGGTATCACGAGCTGCCTTGGCAACAGCTTAGACGAGGTGGCAGATACGCTCCATGAGGGCAAGTCCGGAATCACGTTCTCCGAGGAGTATGAAAAGTTTGGCATCAAGAGCCAGGTCCGTGGCAAACCCGATTTGACTCAGGAGGAGATCAAGGAGCTTATTCCCAGGAAGGCTCTACGATTCATGGGTCGCAACGCTCAGTTTGCATACATTGCGCTTCAGCGAGCCATCGACGATGCCGGGCTCAAGCCGGAGGAGTACGAAAACAACGAACGATGCGCGAGCATCCTTGGCCAGGGCGGCACCTCCATCGTGGATGTCACGGAGAGTGTCGGCTTCGTGGCGGACCAAGTAAAGCGCTGGCCCAGCAAGGTCGGGCCTTACCGTGTCACCCGCACCATGGGCTCTACTGTGTCGGCCGTCCTCTCTTCCAGCTTCAAGTTGCAGGGCCCGTCCTTTTCAATCTCCTCCGCATGCTCCACAGGGGCCCACTGCATCGGTGTGGCTATGGAGCAGATCCAATTGGACAAGGCCGACATGGCCGTGGCCGGTGCAGGCAGAGGGCAACAGAGCCCGAACAGAGAGTCTGCACTTTCAGTGGCGGTTCCGTGTTTTTCATGGAAGCAGATACTAAGCACAGTAGTAATACAGGGGCGTCTCCCACTCAATGCTGTACCGTCAAGGCCCCTGCACTACCTGCCAGGTGAGAATGAGTGCTGGGAGTTCACTGCCATGTTCGACTGCATGGGTGCTCTGTCGACCAAGAGGAACTCCGAGCCAACCACAGCTTCGAGAGCCTTCGACAAAGATCGCCTCTTGGCAAGTTTCATCACAGTGGCAATGTAGCAGCCGAGTAAGTCAGCAAGTCCGAAGGCGATAAAAGAAACGGCGGTACTAGCCCTGCGATCAGGAGACCGAACTCAAAACTCCCACAGTGCTCAACCCCCCCGACCCCCTATGGCCGTATGAGTCTTCGTGGTTCGAAGGGTTCAGGATGCCGGGCTGGTTTGGTTTGGAGCTTGCTTTCCCGTGGTCTTGTTGGGCGGCTTCTTTTGACCCGTCCCGAGGCGATGGCTTCGTCATCGCCGGAGGCGGTGGGATGCTCATCCTCGAGGCCTCAGAGGGTGTTCAGCAGCTCGAGGGTTTAGGGAGCTTATGGCTGGGCAAGGGACTGCAAGCATTACAGGGCTATGCAAGGCCTGGCTGGTCCCGGATGCAGAGGTATTCTTAGAAACGTTGCCGATCGAATCGTTTCTCCATGGCTGTGCGGTTTAGAGAATGTGATGGCCTCTTGTTTCAAGATAGCTCTTTGCTGCCATGTGGTTCCACCCCGACTAGATTTGAACAAGACCTTTGTCCCTCATCCCTTTCGCCAACCCAAACCCCTCGACCCCGAGCCAGACGTTTGGGCAACTTGGCAGACTCCTTCTTCCCAAGTCCGATGCCCATATCCCAAAGACTCCGATACTCCTGGTGATTCACGCCAGCGTGTCGTGGGCTGATTCAGGGGTCCGGCCCATTGTGCTTTTTCCTAGCTCATAGCTGCGTGCTCCACTTTGATATTTGTAATGTGGCTTTGGTGTTCGGGACAACGCCTGCAAATTTCTATCTACAAAGCTTGTTTTCCTCTACGCTGGAGTGCAGCGTGAACGCTCAACTCAAATTTTCTGGACAGGAGCTGGAGCATGCAAAGGCTCGAGGAGCAAAGATCTATGCAGAGCTTACCGGTTATGGCGCGAACTCTGATGGCTCCCCGGAGATTTTCAGCTAAGTCACATCACGTTTCGAGGCGTTGGCTGTGTCTGCCGATAGTGGGAGTCCACGCAGTTGTTCTGTGAGCACTGGCAATGCTTGCGTCAGTTGATGCACCTTCAATGCGATGACTTTCAATGGTCGCATTTTCCTGTGTCTTCTGGCACGCTTGCTGTACGGTTCGTACTTGAGGCTACGATGTTGTGGCTCCGTCGGGGGTTGGTGGTGAGCGCTGCATGAAGATTGCCATGGCGATGGCAGACAAAATTGGCGGTGAGAAAGAGGTTGGCTACGTCAACACGCACGGCACGTCCACCCCAGTCGGTGATGTGCAGGAGCTAGGCGCCGTTAACCGTGTCTTCACCGAGAAAGGCTACCAACCCTTCGTTGGTTCAACGAAGTCCATGTCGCTGGGCCGAAGCTCGCAGGAATGTTGTTTCTTTCATCCTAGAAAACCACAGAGGCCATCCTCATGACTAACGTCGAAGTTTTAATGCAATGAACTGTCCAAGTTCTGAGTGAGTGAAGTGATCAGTTAATTTTGTGATCTCCACGGCA